AATTTTCAGAGGAATAAGTTTGATGTTCTGGCAATCCCCAGGGCTTTTTCCTTTTGAAAAAATTATTCCAAACTCATGGCTTTTTATGTTTTCAATATGTTTTAATCAACTGTAGTTCTTTGGCTTTTTGAAATTAAAATTATTTCATGTGTGTCTGTGAGAGAACACAACCCCAATGATTGTCCATTATTAAAATTCTACCATGCTTTTAATCCCCTAATTTAGCTGTTATTGTTGTATATGTGTTTTGGATATATTCTCATGTTCATCAGCTTCTTTGCCCATCCTTGCCTCTTTAAAAAAAATGGCTATATTGAGATATAATTCATATGTCATATAATCTGCCTATTTAAAGTGTATAGTTTGGTGGGGTTTAGTATGTCACAAAGTTGTGCAGCCATCACCACTAGTTCCAAAACATTTTCATTGCATTCAAAAGGAATGCTGTACCCATTTCCAGTCATTTCCCATTCTTCCTAACTCTCAGCCCCTGGCAATCACTAATCTGCTTTCTGTCTCAAATTGACCATTTGAGGATTTGTTCATTCTGGTCATTTTGTATAAAGAGAAGCACCATACAATGTGTGCCTTTTGTGATTGGCTTTTTCACTTATCGTAATATTTTCAAGGTTCATCCACATGGATAGCATGTATCACTAGGTGCTATTTAGACTGTTCATCGTAAGTACATAGTAATACAATTGATTTTTGTATAATAATCTTGTGTCCTGCAACCTCAATCAAACTATTTATTAGTTCTAACAGTTTTTCAGTTAATTCCTTAGCTTTTTGTATGTACAAGATCATATCACCTGTGAATGTAGTTTTACTTTTCCTTTCCAATTTGGATACCTTTTCTTTTCTTGCTTAATTTCCCTCACTAGAACTTCCAGTACAGTTTCGAATAGAAATAGCAAAGGTGGATTTCTTTGTCTTATTTCTGATCTTAGGGTGAAAACATCCAGTCTTCCACCTTTAAATATTATGTTAGTTGTGAGTTTTTGTAAATGCTCTTTATTAAGTTAAAGAATTTCTTCTATTCCTAGTTTGTTGGGTTTATTTTTCATGACAAGGTGTTGGATTTTGTCAAATGCTTTTCTGTGTCTATTGAGAGGACCATGTGGTTCTTGTTTTTTTGTTTTATTGATATGATGTATCACAATAACCACTTTTCAGATATTAAACGAAACTTGCATTCCTGAAATAAATCTCACTTGTTCATGGTACATAATTTTTATATGTTGCTAAATTCAGTTTGCTAGTATTTGAGTGACTGTTTTTCTCTTTACATGCTTTAATTACCATTCTTACATTTTAAATTCACCAATAAAGAATGAATCTGTAAAACTCTAGGCTCCCCAACCTTGACTATAATAAAGGCAGAACCACAAATCCATTCTCTTGTTCTCTCTCTCTACTGTGACCTCACTGTGTAGCCCCAGAGATGCTGTGTGGCCCCAGGTATGCTGGGTACTCTCCGAGTCCTATGAGTAATAAACCTTGTTTCTTTCAAAGTTCCTGATGGTTGTTGCTGAGGTGCCTGTTGCAAT